AATAAATTCTATAAAGAAAACTAAAACTTTCAATACATAAATAAGAATATTAAGGGATGAAAGAGATGAAATATTGGTAAAAAAACTACCCTAATAATCACATTCTGACCTTGCACAACCTTAATATCGTTCCAAAATAAAATTGAATAAAATCCTTATGAAAAATTTTACTTAAATTCAATAAAGATTTATTTGAAAATTTACTTGTATTGAATTCAAAAACTTGAAAAATTTTAAATTTTTTACAAAATTTTAATGAAATTTTTATTTTTTATCTAGCACGAAATCATGTACTTCTCAATTTGTAAGTGAAAAATGCTACAAAAACTTGAAAAAAGAACAATCATATTATTACGAAATTTTACATACAAGGATAAAGATGTTCTTCTTGGCAAGGTCATACAACTTAGCCTTGATTTTTATTGACATAAACGTACCTACCTGCATATATTATTGAGTTGATTAATCGTTAATATTAGACGGAAAATAATAATTTTTTACAAGGTGACATTCAGTATGTATATAATATGCCACTCTCTAATAATCTTAATCTAAAACACCTTTCTTAAAAATTGTAACTTTATAGTACTTAACATCGTCTACTATTTTTCTGTATTGATATAAATGTCATGTCAACAACTCCAAGACCCGAAAAATCACAGATGAAACGATTCGTACTATCATTTTAAAGCTATTCAATTCATAAACTTAAATTTGATTCATAAACTAAAACATTATAACTGTTATACTTATGTATGTGTTATTCGTTTATTAGTTGGCTGATTTTGTATATAAGCTTTCACTTTCAAAAATAGTATAGCATATAAAATCATTTGCATATTATGTAATTGTACGGTATAAACTAAACACTAAATAGAATTAGAGATATATTCAGCATCCAACACAGAACTTATAGCATTCACAACACTTTGTTCGCAAACAAATTGTAACGAAATCTAATAAACATCAGTATAACACTCCTAGTTACATCTATGAATACACTCTAAGAAAATGTCTTTAAACGAATTCAATTACATTAAATTTAAATATTTAAAAATGACTCAAGGTCGTTTGTACATTGGTGAATTTTAAAGATAAAAGGTTTTTTTGACAGAATTTAAAAAACCTTTTATCTTATTAAATTGTTTTTTTCTAATCCATTATCAACAATCATTGACATTACCAATAATTTTTTTAGAATTATTAAAAATGAATCTCCTATTTATCGTACCTAACAATTATATTTATGAATTTTAATTAAAATTATTTTAATACCAATTATATTAAGGGTACGGTAATAAACTCTGAAATATAAAAATTATTAATGATAAAAATAAAAAGATTATATCGTGTTTCTGTTGCAGTTTCATTCGGGCTTAGAAATTTTGAAATATAACATGAAAAAATAATGAAAATTTATTATGAACAAAAAAAAACTTCATTTTAAAAATTAAAAATAAATTTTGCAGAAATTTCCATTTATTTTTTAGCATATTTCAAACAAAATATGCAAACAGAAATCTGTTTATTATTTTTACTGTGTTGTGTGTTCGTTTGTCCGAGGGTCGTTTAACGATACAAATTTCTAAACTTCCATACCTTTTAACAAAGAAATTTAAAAAACTTCTAGGCGTAAACTGTAGGTCACATACTTGGGAGGCCAGATCAGTCCATAGCCAAGCAAGCACTAGAATGGAATCCCCAAGATAGTTGTAATATCGGCAGACCTAAGAATAAATGTCGAAGAACAATAAAAAATGAAAAAACCGCCACAAACAAGATTTGGTCGCAAATAACATCGACCGCCCAAAATAGAGAGAGATGAAGAGGTTTAATCGAAGCCCCATACTCCTCAGCAGGAGTTTGAAAGAAAAAACAAAAAATTGTTAATTAGTTATTCATTTAGTTAAAGGAAATTTTTTTTCTATTTTACCCTCTCATCGCGAGTTTTTAGAAACGCTTCAATATGCTTTATCGAATTGATAACACAAAAACAGGAAACTTTAAAATTTGACTAAATTTTTCCTAACTAGAATTAATAATGGTTAAAAGTAACGGTAAAGTAAAAATGTCTGTCAATTTGTTACGGTTTCTATCCTGAAGGTATGCAATAATTTTTGTGCATTAATTTGATAATAATGTACTATGAGAACAATGTCGAACTATATAAGCATATCAATGTCAATAGCTATATATTTATATGAAATATAGTATTTTTAAAGAAAAAAAGAGGTTTCTCTTGTTCAAGGAAAATGTGATACTTCACTTCAATTCACAATAAATCAATAAGGTATACAATAAATCATAAGGAGAATCGTATATACAAATTATGTTCAATTTTATTACTGTACTGGAAAAACGTATAATTTGTAAACAAATTTTACGTGAACGGCGAAAATTAATATAAAAATTCTCTTTCACATTAATTAACTTTTGTTTCATTTACTTTTTTAAATATACACAAACATACATACATATACACAAATTTATATATGTATAAACATTTATTTTGTAAATAAATATTTGAAAAATTTCTTCATTTGTTCTCATCAATTTCGTTTACACCAATTAAATATTCTAGTGAATTTGATTTAGTATAGAAAAATACCTTAAAATATTTCGTAAATTTTATTGAAGGTCAATTCTCTATTTTTTGGTACATATACATATTTAGATGTGGGATGGTAATTCAATATTTTTTTGTAAATATCTATGGTAAAATTAGAATTCTTAAAATTTATCAAAATTTTTTTACCTTTTTTCTTTGAATCATAAAAATTTCTGATATCTCTTTTTAAAATCATTTCCAATAATTATTAATTATAAAAGAAAAAATCAAGATCAATGTTATGAACACACTTTTGAATTCATACAAGTTGTAAATTATTGTAAAGAGAAAAAAAAAATAATGAGTTCAAAAATAATGAGAGAAGAGCTTCAATTATTTATTATATATACACATAATTTAATATTACTCTTCGAAAAAAAAACTTCCTTTAAAACTTTAAAATTTGACTAAAATTCTTCTTACTAGAATTAATAATATGGTTAAACAAAAAGTATTCGTGAAAAAAGCTTTAAAACTTAATATCTTCATTATTATATTTGACAATTTTTTTTTTAAATTTGACATTTTTCTTGAAATGAGATATTTTATTAATATTGCACGCGTATAAATCATTCAAATCAAAACGTCAATTTCTATTAAAATTCTTGGTATCAATTTTTTCATAAAATTCATTCAGGTGTCTACAATACTCGTATTCAATATTCAACATATACAAAGTAAAACTGAAGCAAACTATTCAGAAACCAATACAAGACAATTCGAAAAATATTTTTGATGTCAGGGAGTGTGGCATACAATTTTGACACCTCAAAAAGAGACAAATAGAAAGTTTTTTATAAAATAGTGCGTGTGATGTATGACAAACGTTAATTAATTTTCTTTGAAACAGAAGACGAGAATCTTTAATAATAGCATATTAAAATATAAATAATAAATATAGTCAACAATATTCTTACAAATTGAAAATGTTATACGATATTCAATCAAATATATTTAATTTTATATTTAAAAATTTTCAAATATTGTAGGTTTATAAATTAAAATTCTAGGAAATAATTTATTAAAATTACTCAAATAGAAAATTTATTTTGTAAAATACTAAGTTGTAAAGAAAAGTTCATTTTAAATTGTTTTTTAATTGTTTATGAGTTCAATATTCTCTTCACACACGAATCCATCAATAATTATATCTAGTTCACAATGGTACAAGTATCTGTTTAGAAGTACATTCTAATTACAAACGGCAACACTTTTTTTTAATACAAAAGGTATTTCTATTGAAAACAATATCAAATCATCAAATGGGTTTAATGACCTACCTAGAATTTTTGAAAACACTCTCACTTTTAGATCTCTAATACGACTTTTGAAGTCTTAACATGATTATATTTAGATATTTTTTTAAAGTAGTCAGATAGACAAAATCTTGTTCCTTGAAACATGAATGTTAACAATTTAAAATCACATTAATTTTATTGTAAATGTGTTAAGAATAGATAATAAAATATTTTTCTTTCTCAGTTTATACGCAGCTTCTGATGATCTCTCTCTTCTTAAACAACTTGTACATAAATACACATAAACATCATGTATGTTTATCTGCATTATATAAGTACGAGTGCGAATTTGAAGTTGTACATACCTAAATATGTATGTATATATATATATATAAAATGAAATGAATATAAAAAGAATAATTCACTTAATATGAATGTTTATATAAATATACAATTTTTTAAGTGTTAAGATAAACATATTCATAAACAAACACTTTAAAATATAATAAGAGAAACAAAAAAAAAAAAATCGTCTTGATTCCAAAACATTACGACCCACATTTAGAAGAGCACAAGATGCGGAAAAATAATATTTGAGAATGATTTGTTGTGTATACCTCAAAGGCAAAGAATTTCTAAATTTAGAAATTTCGATTTATTTAATTTAGAGTTCATACAGCATGTTAATCATGAAAATAACGTCATAGAATTAAAAAAACAGCATCATAATGGGACTATGGCAGCATGTGCGAATTAAAAATATTGAATTTTTAAAATTTTTTTTTTTTATTTAATAATTTATTGTGTACTTCTTATTTAATATCATTTGATTTTTCAAATTTACCACATGTGATTGTATTCGAACAACTCTGTAATTAAAATTTATGAATTTGTTATACAAAATTTTTTGAAAAATTAAAAACATTCACTCAATACCAAACATGAATTTAAAAATTCTCAAATTCATTTTGACTCTTCAAATATTCCTTTATTGTCGCTAAATCAGTAAGATTTTATTGCTTTACCAAAAAACACTTTATTTCAGGTTAAAAATTATGAGCGCATAAAATTTAATAATACGCGTGCATATCCGAAACATTTTATGTCTAATATACGAGTAAATAAAAGAAAAAGAAAAAAAACAAAAAACTTACGTTGTTGGTGCTGCCTTTTTAACCATTTGTGAAGTGTCTTCATTAAATGCATCATCCTCTATTGGTTCACCATCATTATTTGGTAATCTACGATATGTTTCTTGTGGTGTTGTATCTGAATTATTTTTATCTTTTCCATCGTTTTTATGATTTACTGGATTAACTTGAAAACGATTTGGGCGATCAACTGATCCCATTTCAAATGATGGAATATCTGACATTTTTATATTTTCTTGTCTTCTCCTTTATTTTTTTATAAAAATATATTTTTGACTTTTTTTTTGACAAAAAGTACCTTTTTATTCGAATGTATAATAATCGTATTTTATTTTAATATTCTATATGAATGTAATATGTTTTGTGCATATAAATGTGTCGTAAATGGCGGTAAAATGATTGTCTTATATAACTAGTAAATATTTAAACCAAAAAAAAAAATTTTTGTCTTACAGCCTAGCTCTATTCTATGTAGTATGTATACAATTACTTAGTGAATATTTGATTTGTTATTGTCATTTATGTGTCGATGAGAAAATTTCTATTATTATTCAACATTGATGAATTATCTGGAAATAAAGGAAACAAAACATTAATAAATAAATATTTAATAATGAAAATAATAAAAATTGAAATTGAAAATATTATTTTGAACATAATAGGAAGTTAAGGTAAATAGAAAATTTTTTTTTTTTTTCAAAAATAAAATTTAAATGATTGAAATTATGTTAAAAAATTTATTAAAAAATGCCTGCCATGTTAAAAATTACAAAATTTTTTATTTTAATTTGAAATTTCATTGTAGTGGGGTAGAAATTTCATTGTAGGGATATAAAGACTGAATGGTTAGTTGGTTTACCTTCCAGTTAGTTAGTTAGTTGTTGTAATCGAATGAGTCGCACTCTATATAGCACTATTGCGCCGTTTGGCTACAAATCAAGTAGTTATTCTCTACTTGACTGCCTAGTTATTAACCTACGGAAAGCGAAGAAAAGAGCTCTTCTATAATATCAACCACGAGGCATCGTAAAACATGACTCTCTGATAGAAACATGCAACCCTTGTTCGAAATCCGACAAATCCCTGTGAACCCATCTCTAATAGCTTATTGCAGTGCTAAAATTCCTCCTCTTCAAAAAGTCGTTTCACCATACCAACGATGTAAATAAACTGTGTTTCACGCCGGCAAACATACACTGATCGCCCCTGTACCAGCAAAATTAATCAGTATATATTCTTTTACTTTAAGTGTAGTCCGTCTTCGACTATATGGTGTTGAAATTAACAACTTTGAAAAACAAAATTATATAAATTAAAAGTTCCACTCACTTTAATTTTAAATATTAATAAAAAGTTTAATAGTTCTAATCACACAAATTAGCACAAAATCACTTCAATTCAGTATTAATTGAATATTACTCTACGTGCAAAAAAAATTTTTTTTTTTGGGTGTGTACACTTACAATTTCATATTAACGATAATAACGTTTAAAGGTAACTACCTACATTTTTATGCTCTTATAGATAAAAATCGTTATCAAAAATCATAATATCATCGAACATCAAAAATCAATTTTAAAAAATGATAAAGTCCCCACAATTATAATAAAGCACGACAGCAAGTGATACAAGACAATAAGTGATAAAAATCATGATAAGATATATATGACAGGTCCTAGTGAAATTTAATATAAAAAATTGCCCCATTTGACATTCAAATTATGCTAAATATATAGTTAATTTCGGCTATTAGTATTTTAAAATGATATTTAATTGGAGCTAATTGCATGTGGTCAAACGGTGATTAAACAGTGAATTGTTGATATAATTAACTGTTTTTAGCAATTCCATTTTTTTATAATTTTTTTATAATTTTAATATTTCGGAAAATTTATCCAATCAGACATTTACTGTATTTGTGTTTTTACAGAATTCAACAATACAACTAAATTGAGTGTTAAAATTGGGCGTTCTTGTAATTTTACAGGCAAATATCATTATGCTTCTTACGTGCGCAGTCAATAACTGTTATTGAAAACAACTTTTTACCCACATTCAATAATATCTAGTAACTAAACCAATAACCCATACAAAATTAACGAAACGGCAGCACAGTTACTCAAATACGCAAATTACTTCCTCCCTAACATTCAGTACCAATGTCTATATCAATGTTTGATCATTAAGCGAGCACCGGACCGTGTACATATTAACTTCCTTCTGTTAATATTTAAAATCTATCTATGCTACGCTATCATTTTAACTTACTAACTCCTCCCTCTTGCTCACACCCTACAACTCTTGCCACAAATGAGCTATCTTCCCCTCTGAAAATCATTTCAGTAACTTTTAACGATTTATAGGAAACCTCGAAAACAACAAAACCCGAGATAAACTCCTTCCTAAATTCATAAATTTCAAATATACTGAAATATTTACTTTACACTCAATTAACGCAATAGATCTTTTACTTTTTCATTGTACCGCAACTAAATTTAGTTCTGCACTGCGTAATGACTAATCGTATTCAGAAATTTCAATGAAAACATAATTTACAATTGAGTATAGGCAATATTTGATTACCATACATTCACATATTTTTTGGTTCAATGTATCATAATATTATTCTAACAAGCAATTAAATATAAGTCAATATAATTTTCATTTTGAAAAGCTTAATTAGATTCGTAAATATTGATATTTTTAGAAAAATCTATTAATAAATTTCATAAAATAAAAAAAAAAAAACAAAAACGCTACATATCTGATGATCAAATGAATAACATCAAATGATTCTAATTTTCTAATTTTAGTTTGAATACTCTAATTTTTGTAATTCATAATAAATTATTCATAAAAAATGTTCGAATAGTTAAAATGTTATTTGATTTACATACATATTGACATTAATGTTCAATGTGTCAATAATGCTTCCTGATATTATTTTTGTTCTAAAATAAATTTCTTCCTCATTAACACTTTTTGTATTTTAAGTGACATAAAGCTAGTATTTCAGGTAATGATATTTTCCCAAGACTGTTATGTAAATGTTAAGCAAATTTTGATATAACAGTGGAAGCTGCAAATAAGTTCTATTGTTGCATTAAATTTCAATTAAAGTGGCTTGTCGTTGTAATGGCTTGTGTTTAAACCATATAGCTAGATCAATACAAAAATAAAGTTATAAATTTATATGCCATTTTTGTTAAAAACATAACTACATGCAATTAAGAAGTAGAAATGAATGATTACTTGGAGTCGACTTTACTTATATCACATGATTTTATTTTCTTCCCTTTGTTTGCCGCAAACGTTCATTTATGTTTGTTCTTGATAAGATCACTTTTCAAATTTAAAGTGTGTATGCACAAAAGTCAATCGTCAAAAATTAGGAAAGAAGTGCAGTACAATCCCAAATATTTTTTCAAATCAAATAAAAATATTAAACATATTTATTTAAAGAAATTCTACATTAACTTTAATTACATATTTATTTTCCACTTAAAAAATTAATATTATAAAATAAATACTAACTGTCATGTATATGAACTCCTAGTCAGTACGAAAATTTGATAAAAAAAACTTTAATTTGTCATGAATTTAGAATTTTCTAGTCTAATAAATTTGTAGTTACTCATTGAGTTCTCACTTGTCCTCAATTTAAAATTTTAATATTCTTTCAATGAAATCGAAAAAGATCATCTCTAATTAATTCTTATCTTTAATTTTACATCAATAAAATAAAATACTGATTTGAAATTAGAAAATCTTCCCATTTAGTTAAATAATAAATTTTTTGTGTAAATTATTAAAAAATGATAATTAATTAATGTTAACAAGAAAAGCTATAGAAATTTTCCATTACAACTTTTGACAAAACTATTCAGCAACAAATTTAATTGCATTGTACCAGTGTAAATACATAAGTTTATGAATTACACAAAACAAAAAAATGTACTCAACATTTTCTTTTAAATAATAATGAATATTGAAAGAAAAATTTCTAACAGGTGTATTGATTCATTGATGTTTAAAAATTTATAAATTTTTATTAAAACGAATAAGCTCATTGGTAGCGATACAACTCGCCACCATAACCCCAAGAAACCACTATAGATTACATTATGCCGTGACATATTTAAAGCGATTGTTGCGTCTGATTTGTTGAATTGAAACGTTATCGTCTTGTTTTCGCACCGAAGAAAAGAAATTTTCTGTTCTTATCCAACAGCCCGAAAAGTTAGCATGTCAAAAGTATACCCGTCAGGAGCTTCCTTCTTTTCCTTTTACCGGCCGTGATGTCATTTAACGCAAGAATCCAAAGGAGAAAGAATGACCCTTTGGGGTGTGCTGGGCACTCTAAGATTATATTCTTTATAGTGCAGAATTGTTTATGGCCGTTACAACTTTGTACGTCAACTGACTTATTCTTTGTGTATGCATGCCGTGCTTTGGGACAGTAGTTTAAGTTAGCTGTCTTCATGATGTATGAATGCAATGTCCTCTCTATAGTTTTAAATTATTTTTGAAATTGTGTTCAAGCAGAATGATAAATTTATGGCATCCTATACATTGTTCATAAAAATATAATTATAAATTGAGTATGTGTGAGTTTATATATAGAATACACACCCATAATAAACTTAAAAATAATAATAAACTGGCAGATTCATTGCCATTGTCATTTTCTCGTAGCCCCACACGTCATAAAGGCCAATGTCATCATGTATAAGAGTATGAGATAATAATTATCTGACGTTGAAATCATAATTTTTAAACGTTTATGCAACATACAAACACACAACTAGAGTATAGCGTTGCAATAGCCACATGGAATGCATTATAGAATGGCTTATGCAGACCTTTCATAATTATTGTTGCCATTATATGCACATGTAATTATATACAGATATACATAATTGTGTTTATGTATGTACATATGTATATATTTATACATTATTTATATAGCATGATTAATGCTTTTTCTTATATACACAACATTCAAACAATTCAACTAAACCAGAAATACAATTCAACCCTACTCAAAGCTATCTGTGATCTGAGATAATAACAATTATTTACATTTAGTAGTGATGAGTAAAATAATAATATTTTCTAATTTTTAATTAAATTATGACTTTTATTAGTATTTAAAAGTAAAAAAATATCATAAAAATTGAACGTGAACGTGAACTTTATAAATTTTTTTTTTTATTATTTATTATCTCGCACAGATTTTTAAATTTTATCACGGCCAAAAATTTTAAAATATGACAATAATAAATTATTTTTATTATTTTGATACATGCAAGTTGTTTATCATTTATCATTAGATTTTAAATGAAAGTGCTTTCAAAAGTGTGTATATGAAATAGCTAGGCTATAAAATATGATTGAAAGAAAGTTACGATTAGATATGCAATGGAAAATAAAGGGCAATTTCTATTTCTAGTCCTATTTTAATTGTTTTTATTGAGGCTTTTTCAAACCTCAAATCAAATTTCATAAACGAGGGCTTCCACGTTAGATCCATACCATCGGTCATTTAACAAGAAAGGACCGATTATAA